GTCTTCATTTCCAAATTTCTGGGCTTTAGCTTTAGATGAGCAAAGTGGTTTGGGAGAAATCCAGGTTAGTGGCTGTTTGCATTAAGAGTAAACAATATGCAAAAGCTTACCATGTATGGTGCAGTGTTTTTAATATTTTTTCCTCTTAACCCTTAAAAAATGGCAGTAGATATAAAGTGGCAGAAACCCAAAAATCTTCAGCAGTTGTCTGTTTTACATAAATATGCTTCACTTTTACAGTGAGTAGTTTATTGGAAATAAGTTCCAGATTGTCTCCTTAAAAAAGCAAATCAACATTAGGTTGTATTTTTTTAATAATGTTTTAAAAATCAGTTTAACACTTTTTCTTTATAGTTTTAAGTTGCAGAATCAGGAAAAACACTGAGTTCTTCAGATCTGTTTAGTCTTTGTTCTGGAAAAAAGAAGCCACTGAACAGTATTCAAAATTCACTTGTGATAACTTGATTAAAATCAAACTATCACAAGTGAATTTGGAATACTGTTCAGTGGCTTCTTTTTTTGTAAAATCAAGCTATTTGTATAAGAACATTTTACTATGGCAGTCTGACATGCTAAATATAAACAATTGACGTGATTTTAATTTGCTAAAACTAATAAATTATAGAAAATGTTCCTCTGCTTTATGTTCTTTGGTTATTGCTATTATAATTAAATCTGGTCAAAGTTGTGTATGTTTGGCTCTAAGGCCCCCTCTACACATTACAGGTATCACACAATTAACTAGTGAATTATGCAATTACCTTGAGGCCAGCCACACATGCAAAGTAGCGATTACACAATGAAAAGCTCCAACCAGCATAGGCAGAGGGAGAAAACAATGGGGCTAAGTGTAGGTAAGTCTCTGGGGGAAGGGGCCCAGGGGGAGGGAGTGAAGCTGGGGATGGGACCGGGCAGAGATCAGGAGAGAGTGGAGCTGAGCCAGGCCCAGGATTAGGGCCTGCTGTACCCATGCGGCCGCCCCTTCCCCCACACCCGAGGTCATTGCCCAGCATTGGCACCCC